AGGGAGGGAGGGAGGGAAGAGAAGGGAGGGAAGAGAAGGGAAAGACGAAGACAGATAGCAGAAGCGAAGGGTTTGGCACTGCCCTGATTCAACTTGGTCTTTGGTGGAGAGGGGTCGCCACTGTCTCTGCCTCTCCCCCCTCCCCTCCCCCAGGCTGCCCAGGGGGCATCTCAGGTTCTTTTACCAACTTGGCCCAGCCTCTGCAGACCAGAGCTGGCTTACACCTTCCTTTCCTCCTTTTCCCCCAGCCCAGGCCCCGGGGTGACCCCCGAGTCTCCCACAGCCCCCTCCAGGGCAGGTTCTGTCCGCGCCTGCTGCTTTTCCTTCCCCTTCCTGGATCTCAGTTTTTCACCTGGCCAGATTGTAATGAAGGCTGGACCCAGTGCTATTCTCAGCACCTGCTGGGCAGCAGAGGGAGGGGCCTGCTCCATGCCATCACCAGAGGGCTTGGCTTAGCCAGTGATGGAGACAAAGAGCTGTGACTAGTGCAGCAGGGAGAGGAGCCAGAGCGGCCCTTCTGCCGGCCGGGGCCTTTTGCCTGGCAGTGAATCTGCCCATCAGCGCCGCCCACCTCCTTCCCAGAGTCCAGGCTGCATCTTCATAGGGCTCGGCTCAGCACGGGTGCACACGGGCGACTGGGCACACACATTAGGCTTCATGGCCTCTGTCACTCAACCCCATGGTTCTAGCACACAAGCAGCCACAGACCTTACTCCAGAGGGATGTGTGTGTGTGTGTGTGTGTGTGTGTGTGTGTGTGTGTGTGTGTGTGTGACTGTGTTCCATCAAAATCTGGAACTGTATTTGAAAAATGAATACCAGATAAATTAAGTCCCGGAGCCACAATTTGCTAAACCCCAACAAATATTGTCTTAATAAGTCTCCAAAGGCAGTTCAGAGAGGTTTGGTAACTTGTGGGAGGTTGCACAGCACACAGTGACCATGTTTTCCACAGATGCTCTCAACATCCTGACCTGCCACCAGGCAGAAGCACTGTGGAGGGGTCCCCAACCCCCAAGGATGAGATCCCAAGGTCCTGCCTCTTGGTCTAGGACTTCAGAGGAAACAGAGGCCACCAGCGACACAGCTGGGGGCAGCAGCAGTAACCGGGAAGGAAACAGGCCCTGGCACCAGCTCCCTGGCGCCCAGTTAAACTTTTGACTTTCCAAATTAGAGAAGTTGGATGTTCTGCTGGGCACTTTTTTTTTGTCTTTAGGGAAACAATTTTTTGTTGTTAATTATTTACCAGAAACGCGGTTCTCTCGACCCTCCCACCGGCCCCTAGAATGATCTTCCTTCAATTTCCTGCCCGGATGATTTAACACCACGCTAAGAGGCATTTCAGGGGCTTCTCCTCCCAGACAAAGGAGGTGACCGCGCTTAGGGGGGGCACCAGGACTAGGGAGAAAGTTCTGCCATTGGCCAGGCCAGGCCACCTTGTGTCTGCTGTGTAATTCAGCCAGCCACTCCCTCCCACCCAGCCCATCTGTCTGCTGGCATTTATCAACTCCTTCCAGCACACCCAGGCGGGGAGAAGGGTGGGGAAGGCTGGCAATCTCATTGTCAGAGCGGTTAAACATTAAGTTGGACTCAAAGTTTGCTCCCCACCCCCTACTCAGCCATCCTTAAATTCCCTTTTCCCCAACTCCTCCTTGCCAAAGCACGAGGTGCTAATGGCCTGATTTACATCTGTGTAAACCTGAGTGTGTGTGAGTGTGTGTGTTTGTGTGTGTGTGGTCACTAATGAAGCCTGAAGTAACAGAATCTGCAGGGTAGCTAGCTGGGGCAACCACCGAAATGCTGTGAAAGGGAATCACCCTGTGGGTAGCTAGCCCAATGTAGGGCTGGGTAGAGATGCATAAAACCCAAACCCTGTCACCAGCCAGGAAACAGTTAAAGAGAAGCAAGTAAATGCCTGGCTCTGGGATTCGAGGAAGCACCTCCTCCTGGGTGGTTCCCAAGGTGCTGGGCTTGGCCCAGGCCATGCATAATTGAGAGTGAGCATGAGGCCCGCTTCCCCCACACTGGTAATGACAGCGCCTGAGAATCCTAGCTGGGATCCATCAGCACTACCTTCCCACACCCAGCTCAATCAATGTGGGGCCATGGAATTCCACTTCTCTCCCGGGGCTAGCACGTGGGACACTCTGCATTATATGGGCACACAAGTGCACAGTCACTTATGATTTGTTCTGTAATCAAGTTTGTTTTCTTCTCAAAGCTGGTGCTATACCACTTGAGCCACAGCTCAACTCCTGGTTTTTTTTTTTGGCTGGCTATTGGAGCTAAAAGCCTTACAGCCTGAGCTGGTTTTGAACTGTGATTTTTCAGATCTCAGCCTGCTGAGTAAAGATTACAGGCAGGAGGTACTGGCATCTGGCTTAATAAGAAAAAAAAATTAGTTGGCCCATAATGATGGTACATAATGATGGGGCACAGTGATATTTTGATATGCATTCACAGTGGGATCATTTTATCCATTTATTCCTAAATGAACGCTTCTAAGGACGGCAGGGAAAAGACTAAGATTTGGGAGAAAATGGACTTGAGAAGAAACACACACACACACACACACACACACACACACACACACAGAGTCACAGATTGATGAAGAGTCTGGGGGCTGTCAATAATCTGTCTAATTTAGGGTAGCCCATGCTTTATGCTCTCAGACTTAGTTTCCTTGTCTGTAAAATGAGATTGTGAATGCTGCTTCCTTTCCCTGTCCACTGTAGATGAGCTTCAGGTGAGGTAAGGGTTGTGGAAGAACTTTGGAATCTACAATCTCTTTATGTGATGGCTAATTTCATGTGTCAACGTGACTGGGCTAGGAGATGCCCACAAAGCTGGTAAAATACTAGCTCTGGGTGTGTCTGAGAAGGAGTTTCAGAAGAGATCATGGATTGAGTCAATAGACTAGTAAAACCAAAGATGGCACGGTCCAATCTACAGAGGGCTATATAGGACAAAAGGTAGGGGAAGACACATTCGATCCCTTTTTGGGCAGAGATGCCCTTTTTCTCCTCCTTTTTGGATATAGGGACTCTTAGTTCTTAGGTTTTCAGATCCAGACTGAGACTTAACTTTAACTCCACAATTTCACACCTTTGGACTCAGACTTAAGGATATCCCTGGCTTCTCCTGGAGGCTGCAGATGGTAGAGTGTGAGACTTTGTGGTTTCCATAACCATGTGAATCAACTCCCTTCCTCTCCCTCCTTCTCTCTCTCTCTCTCTCTGTCACTCTCTCTCTCCATTCCTCCCTCTCTCCTTCCTTCTATACATGTGTCTATGTATCCCCTACTTGCTCTGAGTCCCTGGAGAACCCTGACTAACACACTTTACAAATGCAAGGACATAAAGTTACAAGGGTTGCAATGCATTCCTGATAATAATGATGGTGGAGACAATAATAACAGCGCAAAGTCCAAGTTCTCTAGGTAGAGAACTGCACTTTCTGTGTCACCCCAGGCCAGCATAGGTGAAGGACTTGGGAGCTTTTACATACTCCTCTGAACTAGTTCTGGGTAGCAGGCAGGGGGCGGGGACCATTTCCATAGCCACATAAGCCAAAGCATGAATAGACCTGCGTTCCTTCCCACACAGCTCTGTTTCTCTCTGCTAGGCTGCTTCTCTCCTGAAGGTCTGGTACCCTGTTGGCATTCAATGGATGACGTTGAGTGAGTGAGTGAATGAATGAATGAATGCATGCATAAATGCATGCATTTATGTTATGACCCATTCAGTTACTCACAGATTTTTTTTTTTTGCAGGTTGTGAGGCTTGAACTTGGGCCTGGACATTATCCCTGAGCTTTTTTCTTTGTGTTCAAGGCTAGTGCTCTACCACTTCAAACTACAGTGCCACTTGTGGTTTTCTGGTGGTTAATTGGAGATAAGAGTCTTGCGGACTTTCCTGCCCGGGCTGGCTTTGAACTGTGATCCTAGATCTCAGTCTCCTGAGTAGCTAGAATTACAGCGTGAGCCATGGGCACCCAGCTACAGAATTCTTTTCTTTTCTTTTTTTGTTTCTGAAATGCTTTATTTTTAAAATCAGTATACATTATCTTAACTATAGAATTTCTTAAAAATGAACAAATAACTGAATTTCACTGTTAGATGGTTATGGACAAGGAAATATCTAGTTCTTTTGACTTTTTACATTGATCCATATTTCAAGATGATTATCACATTAAGGTTCTTCTGTGTTACTTTTGCCCAAGTTGGGATAGCTGTTTTATAAACTGTGTAGCATTGAAAAGTTCACTGCATCCATATAAGATGTGCTTGCTTCCCCTTTATGTAGTCAACAAGATTCTGATATTCTATGTAGTTGCCTCCTTTTCCATACAGTTTTACATTAGAAGGCTCTTTTCCACTATAAAATATTAACACTAATACTATTATTATCATTGCCATGGTGATAGCTTTAAAATGGCCATCAATACAATGATACTCCTTCCATTAGAGCAGGGCTTAGCCCTAGGCCACACATGTTTGGCCACAAGCAGTGGTCTACTCCAACAGCCCCATCTAGACCCGACCTGACCCTCATTTCAGCTGACCCTTCAGATGACTCAAGACCTTATGTCTTCTAGTCCCCCATTCAATTGCTAAGGTTGTGAGATGGGGCTGGCAGTGCCTGAAATCTCGTTTGGCTATATGGCTAGGGAGAAGTCAGGTCCTATTTGCTCACTCCAGCCATTAGGGCTGGAACTGGGTGAAGAAAGCCCAGAGCCTGAGGCACAAAACTGAAAGAGACATTGTCTCTGCAGGTGGCAGGGTGCAGTTTGAATCACCTGAGCTGACCCCTCCTTCCGTGTTACACCCTGAGTGACCTTCCTGTATCACCTTAGTCCTGGGCCTGATTCCTGAATACATCCAATAAACACTAACTGGATCAATGAATGAAGGCAATGAAATCAACCCTGAACAGAGAGCCTCCTTGGGATAGCAAAGGAGAGAAAGTGCTAGACTTGGAAGCATAAGGATATAGATTAGAATCTGGCTGTTGTTTCTCACTAGCCATAGAGACTTGAGCGGGTGGCTTGGCTCTTCTGAGCCTGCAGTAGTAATACTGTCCCACGGGGTGACAATAGAGAAGAGATGACGAGGATATCAGCCGAGCAGTGCGCTCTCAAGCACTTGATGTTTTCCTTCGGGTCCTCCCTTCCCTTAGAAAAGGCAACAAGTCAGTGATTTCACCAAACCTCCCCAGGGGAGAACTCTGTGGAGGCCAGCATTCCACAGTCAGGGTTTGGAAAACCTTTGTTTTGCCCCAGTAAGGGAGTTTCTCTCCCTGTTTTTTTCTTAGCTGAGAGGCAGTTTATACTAGTAGTTGCAAGCACAGGCTTCAGCCACAGGTAGGGGTAGGTTAAAACCCTAGCCTTCCAACACTTATTATATAAACTTGCCCAAAGTCATTAAGGCAGAATCTTTAGTTTCCTCACGGAACAGCTGCAAGTAAGAACCCTAAAATCTCAGTGGCTTAACAAAATGGAAATTCAGTTCATGGTCATATTACCAGTTCAACCCACGAATATGCCACAGATGGCTTATCCCTGGGCCTGCAGCATACTCTAGGGTCATTGGCTGGGTCCTCCACAACTGTGGGCAGAACAGGAGGGAGAAGAATTACTGGGGAGGTTTTACAAGTTTGGCCTGGAACCAGCACCCATTACTTCCCTTTATATTCCATTGGGCAGAAGCTAGTCACATGGCTTCACCTAACTGCAGGGGAGCCTGGGAATTGTGGTCTCCCTGGATGCTCAAGAGGATGTATCACAGTCTGTGTCCTATTGCACCAGTTAGATGAAGTACATCTTAGACACCATCAAAGGGGCTACTAAGGGTGTTAAATAAGACAACATAACCCAGCATGGTAGCTCACACATGCTGGAAGGTGAGGCAGGAGGATCATGGGTATAAAGCTAGCCTGGGCTACACAGGGAGACACTATTTCAAAGAGAGGGGAGAGGGGAAGCTGGAAGAAGGAGAGAGGGAGGGAGCTACAAAGGAAGGGAGAGAGGGAGATTCTGAAAGAGGGAGGGAGAGAGGGAGGGAGAGGAGGAGGGAGGGAGAGAAGGAAGGAAAGAAGGAAGGAAGGAAAGAAGGAAGGAAGGAAAGAAGAGTCAGCCAGACAATATATCTGAGTGCTTAGTAGAGATTGTGGCCCAGAATTAGTGTTTAGTATCTGACTTATGGGTCATTACAGGCGAATATACTAGCCCAATCCTGTATCACCAGTCAAGATGGCTTCCAGAACATGCCAGCAGAGTATGTGAGGACATTTGCTTAGTGGGCTAAGACCCCTAGAGATCAGCAAACCCTGAGCATACACATATATGTATATATACCTACATATATATGCAGATATAAAGTTTTACAGGGTCTGTGGAAGAGGAAAATGGACAAGAAATGATCTTGGTTCTCAGAAAGCTGGTTCTCACTCAGTGTAGGGGATAGAAATGGGCCCCATGCCTGTAGTTCAAGTAAAGTATAGTAAGTGTCCAGAGGAATGATTCTTTAACTTTTGCTTAAGGGACCAGGGAAGCCATTTGGAGAGTGCCACATCTTGGCTATACCAGGATGCTTGCAAAACGTGAGTCAGTAGGAGACCACATTACAAGGGAAGGGGCCAGGGCAACCAGGTGTGGAGGGCAGATCAGTTTTGGGCAGGTGGTGTGGTGGTGGTGGTGGTGGCAAATGGTTCACACATGAGTACTGAGGGGGAATAAAGTGGATCTGTCAGCAGGAACAGACATGGGAGATTTGTGTGCTGCCATACTGCCTGTATTAGGGAGCCATCAAGAGTTCGGGGATTCTGGCAGCACTGGGCAAACTTTTCCAATGATCATTTTATCTCTATCCTATGCCTGAGAGACAAAAGTTTCTGCCTTTCTGTTTTGCAGATGGCAGGAAGGAGACTAGAAACGGCCTAGCTCAGTGTCTAGGACGCTGCCTAGCTCCATTTCACGGAGTCAGCAAATCATTCTATCTTCAAGGACCATGGGTAGCACTAGAAGCTCATTGGCAACTCCTGTAGATTGGGTAGCTTATATTCAACAATGCTGCACAGCAAGTAGCTTTCAGACCCAGTGATGCCCAACATAAATGTGGACATTTCCTTTTTATTTTTTGGTCAGTCACGAGGCCTGAACTCTGGGCCTGGGGGCTGTCCCTCAGCTTTTCAGCTCAAGGCTAGCACTCTACCACGGAGCCACCTTCCCAGCCCAAATGTGGACATTTCTAACTCATGGCTACATAAGTTGGCAACACAGCTCTGAGTCAGGCAATGAGTTAACTGGACAGGGCTGTTCTAAAGGGATACTGGCCGAGAAAAATCAGTATTTACTGCTCTCATAGGATCTGCTTTAGGCATACACATGCACGCACACATACATACATACATACATACATACGTGCCACACACAGACGTGCATTTGTGTACTTGTCCAAAAGTACTGTTTAAGGCCATAACCCACCCAAACAGATCCATTCGTTGGGATTACTAATTGTATTCACTATAACCTATCTAACCCATTTTGGTCCTGATTGGTGTCAGCAGGAAAGACTAGCTCTGCCATTTGAAACACCCAACTGTATCTTCCCATGGAAATCAAAAGCTGACTTACCTTCCTTTCATTAATCATCTTTTTTCTTACAAGATTTCACCTTTTGTTTTTGTGCACTTTACAAGGAAAAGGTGTGTTTTTATGCTGTGTGGAGAGCCTGGCGGTTAACGGAACCCTTTGATTTTTAAGTAAGAAAGCCAGTCCTGCATGTGCAGAGAAGGTTCCAATAAGCTGGGGACCGTACCTTTAGGTTCATGCTTTCCCCTAGTGCTGGGACCGGAAGGACTGGATGGAAACTTTAAACATTTTGAGCAATACCTAGAATATGTATAATTTATAAGCCACACACCGTTGCCTGTCAAATAGGCGATTGATCTGACTGGGGTCTTGTTAATTATCTTCCACATATATTACGCCTTAACAGATCTTCAGTATACTGGATATCAATATTAATAAGACTATAAAACACTATTGATAATTAGGAACAGAAAGGACCAGCCCTTTGATTCTGGCTGTTACAAATGCCCTGCCTCTCTTCAGATTAGAAAGCGGCCACTTTCCATATAATAAGATCAGATCAGAACCATCCCTGTCCTGAAGTGGGTTATTAAGAGACAGCTAAGGTTTACAGTGGGATGGAGAAGGGGCTATTTCAGAGTGCATATGGCAGAATCCCTGAAGGGTGAGAAATGTGCTCTCTGGTCTGCAGGAGGCCTAATGGGGTGGGTGGAGTTGAAGGGAGAGCCTTCCCCACTTTGATCAGCCAAATTCATCATTTTCTTTGTCCAGACTAATCAGGTTGGTTGGGTTTTGCTGGGTATCCGGCTAGCATGGCATTTTATCTTGATTTCTTCCATTGGATGAAAGGGGGTCCCATTGGGAAGACAGAGAAAGGGGCTGCTGAGATTTCAGGCAGATTTCAAGCCCATCCCATCTTGGATGGCACTTTATTTTCTATTTTCCCTCTTTGGAGGAGCTTTCTCTTTTATGTTTTTGTTGGGTTCACCAACTCATTAACATCAAACAGGCAGATCTGCCACTAACTAGGAAAACACAAGCAATTTCGCATATAAATAGAAAGCATTGAAGCTGGGTGCTAGGGCCAGGCCTTCTCCCTGGGGGGTCTCTCACCTGACTGCTGGAGGAGGGAGGTGAGGAGGGAGGAGGAAGGAGGGCCCCCCTAGCATCTCCTATGGCCAGGGCTGAGCAGAGATCAGTGACTTCCGGTCCCGAGGATGCACAAGGAGCCACAGAGGTGTTTATTAAACCACAGAAAGCCTGGACTGACTTTTGGTCCAGCTAGTTTTAGTATGTATGTTTCTTTCCTCTGCATATGGTAAAACAAAACATTTTTTTCCAAGCTGTTTTAATAAAAACCACGGGCTCTTGTAACAGTCAGGAGATAAGCTGGCTCCCAACTGGAGGCAGACACCACCCAGACCCAGTTTCTGTTTCTCAACTCCAGCTCTCTGGCTTAGTCTCCCTTGCAGGCTGACTCTGTTCTGAGATCACAGATTGGCTGTTTGGGGAAAAAAAGAACATCTTTCCCACACACATACATGCAGGACAGGAACTTCTCTCCTTCTTAAGGTCCCAAGCTTTCGCTGTCCTGTCTCTGGCCCTGTGTTTTCTGCCTATAGCTGAGCTCATCACAGTAGCT